AGAGCTAGACTTTCCACATGCAGATATTTGCGTAGCCACATTAAAGCTAATAGAACTTGATTCGTGATGTTGAGTTGTGAGCGTCCTAGTCGTTGACGTGGTAATCCATCCCTTGTTAAACGGAATAGAGCTGGAGAAACATCTGCTACTAGCTGCAGAAATGACTGTGGGGTTTCACCTGTATTTCTCCAAAAGAACCATGGCTGTCTTTGTATTAGAGAGAACACATCCCTGCCATCAAATCCACTGCCACGGAAGCCTGTAAGAAGACGTCTATTTAACGGCACGTTTTGTATGCCTAACGGAGGCTGGAAAGCAGACAGAAGTATCAAAATTGCTAGTATTTGCAAAAGCAGGACACGTATATCCTGAACTGCATCTCAAGTTCACAGTAACTACCAGTCAAACTTCTATTTTTTAAATAATTAAAATCGAAGCGTGCAACTAACACCGTTATTGTAATTAGTCCAGGCAGTTTAGAGTTTTGCACTTCGGAATTTTCTGAGCATTCAGTGCCCATCGAGTGACAATTGAGTTTAGCTAGTTTACTTGATTATTTCTGATAAACGTTTTGTCAAGATGTCACAAAAAGATTCTCCAATACCGGGAAATTCGCGWGGGTTARGTAAGTGAACCATTTTTAAAAAGCCCATTTCTGGACTTTTGCGACAAATTAATTTTATTATCGTTTTCAACTTATGGTTTGTAATTTTAATTGTGATAGGATCACTACCAAAGCGTGCTATTGTTGGTGAAAAGGAAATTGAATTTATTTCTAAATGCTACAACGAATGTAATAGCAAAGAGTGGCCTGCCGATCCTACAGTACTGCAAAGAAAGAATCCTAGAGGCACAACTCCCTCATCATGTTGTGGCACTCTATCCGTAGAGCCCACTGGCAAGTCGACTGATAACCAGAATGAAGAACATTTTAAAGAAAATGTTGGCTTTCCCGACTGAACCAATAGAGTCCATAAAGTATGCAGAGAAGAAAACACCTTCCCAGAGAAGACAAGCAGTGAAGGACAAATAAGAGGGAGAGTATGTTGCGTCATCATCATGCGAGAGCGAGTTTGATGAAAAAGATGACTGCATTGCCGGTACGAACAAGGTATCTAAAAAGAGGAAGGTTGACAATGCAGCAGAAACCCAAGCTGCACATAAGAAAATGTGCGAAAAGGCTTTGGAAACGATGAGTAAAGTAGATGCCGTTTTAAGCAAGGTGGACAAATATCTAGATAAGAATAACTAAGCTATTAAAAAATGGAATCCAATCTTCAGTCTCGACTGTTATAGCGAGCTGGTATATCGTCACTTATACTCAAAGATTTGTACTTTACAAACGCTGCTGTTGAATAAAACTTCTATAAAAATCTTGTATCAATTTTAGTGAGTTTTTAGAGAAGTAAACTCGTTGGTGCTGGCCTATCTCCGGCTTCTSAGAAGTTACATATATGAAACTTCTGAAAAGCCGGAGATAGGCCAGCACCAGCAACAGCAAGTTTACTTCTCTTAAAACCAAAATATAGCGTTAATAGTTTTGTAAGCACGTTTTAGAATGGCAAGCGTTTTAACG